TTCCCAAAGTTCTAATTTCAGATCTGTCCAGATTGACAAAAGGAGAAGACAGAGCAGAGGCTTGTGGGGCCATTCTATGTAAATTTGCAAGCAATTTCTCCCATGGCCAATGTTTGTTAAAACCAAGTGCTCCCTTCCTATTCTTGATGGTGCCTCTCCGCCCTCACTATCTTGCTGTTGCTAAGGAGTGAGCAGCTTACCCACTGTGACTGGACTGGCTCTTCTTTTTTCTCAAAGGCTTTTTACAGTACTCTTCTTAAACATGGATGTATGTGGTGATACCCAGCAATGCACTTCTGCCTACTGACACAGGAGACTAGATCGTATTCATGAGGGAAGCCAGGTTTTTCAGTCCTCTGAGCCCTTCCTAGGTTCCACATGGTTCCCGTGCGTTTGTCATTCCCCAAATTAATGCAACCAAACAGGTGCACTGAAAGTCCATGTGCCGAAAGGTGTTTCAGACTCCAAAGCACCAAATGTTAGCAAGGCAAACAAGTGTCTCCTGAACATACTCATCTTCCAAAGAGGAGAGGGCATGCTTTATTTATTTAGACTTTCTGGGGATTCTTTGAAAAGCCTGAATATTGAGCCCTTCCCTTCTCACTCCCTCAAAAACTCGTTATTTTAACACCACATCACGGAGCTGACTCCTTGTTCATCGATGGTGCAGAAGCGTTCTTGTCTCATGTCAGTGAGTTCATTCTCAACCAGACTAAGCAAGTTAGCAAGCTCAATAAAAGTACTTATTCCACATTCATGATATTCTAGTCTGTTGTGCATATTCAAATGCTATGCATTTTAACTAATGGAACACCTGAACCATGCACAGAAAAAAGAAAAGATTAGGCTTGCTCCAACACTGGCTCCTGCTTCAGTGAGGACGGTCCTATATGTCACTGTGCATTTTGAATTATAGTTCAGTCATCTTATGCAATTTTTGTCCAATAATCAAGAAAATTTAATCTATGAATTTACTTTTTTGACACTCTGTACTTTGAGCATTAAATTTTATTTTCCAGGAAATATGAAATAACATAGTTAAGCGGTGTGTGTGTGTGACAGATTTATAGCTCAGGGTAAAAGCTGACAGCAGTCAGGATGATATGGAAGTGGGGGACTGAAAATTAGCTAAGTGACTCCTATAATAATCCAGTAAAAAATAAACTTGGCTAGAACCCTCCAAAACATTTAGAGATTAACAGGTTAAGAACATCCAAAACTGAATATAGACAAGCCAAGCAAATATCTTAAATATTATGATTTATTAAGTTTAAAGAAATAAAGCTAAATAACTTTAAACAAATAGAAGTTACAAGGTATACAGTGATAAACTGAGTTGTAACATTTTTAGATGTTTTACAAAGGCCATTTTCATCTGTATTAATTTTAAAGAAGTATTAGCAAAATGCAACATGGGAATACTTAAAAGTAACATATTAAATCTACCAAATTTCTTAATTTATGTAAAATGTTAAGTTTTTCCCCCATGGTCACCCAATAAGAATACCTCTAATCAACTTTTTATATCTAGCTAACATATATTCATATAACACCAACTACTTTTATTAGCCTGAAAAAAGTAAGCAATAGCCAAAAATAATCACCATGCATTTACAGAACTGTTGGTATACTATTTGCTGTGCAGTCCACTAATATTTATTGAGCTCCTATTTTCCAGGACCAAAAACATAATTGCTACCTTATAGATTTGTCAAAACTGTCCCTCAAGATAATAGCATTTTTTATATAAAAGAAAATGTCGTTTGCCCACCTAATTTAAAAAAACACATGAAGAATCAGATTTATACAAACTTGCTCAATACCATAAACAGTAACATATTTAATTATACTAACTGCCAATTTGAAGAGATCACTGATTTTTCACATTGTTACCAGTTTTTGCTTTTATATTTTTTCTTAAATGCATATGAATATATGCAGTATTTTTTGTTTATATCTCATCACTGATTTTTCCTACTTCTCTCCTGAAGGTCATGACATATCTATAATTTCTTGCATATAAATTTTAATAAAATATTCATAAGTGGGAATGTATAGTAGTAAGTATTACTCTATTATTCTGGAATTTAAAAATAACACAAGCACACATTCTAAAAAGCTATACATATTAAATAGATACAAACTGATTTCTAAAATATAGCAATATATATTTAAAAATGAACCTCATTGAAATTTTTGGTTTATAAATTATAATCTTAAATATAGGATGTGAAGAAGTTTAAATGACTATGTATAATGATGGTCAACCTCATATAAGGTACTGAAATACACATTCTTTTAAGTTTAAAGTGCCTTTCCTAAGAACTGGACTAATGGTGGTTCCTCATTTTAGTTCAACTGGAATCAAATTATAAAAGGAATATTTTCCTTTTGTTATTATGGATAACTTTAGCCAAAAGGTCAAACAGCATAGAATTCCACAAATATTGAGGATAATTCAATTGTTAATCATTTCAAATTCTGGCCCACACCCAGTATTATGTAAGCACAGATTACCTTATAGAAAAGTTGTTCTAGTAAAAGTATCTGACTGGAACAGGAAGGAACTATAAGGGAACAGACTTCATTAGAGATCTCGTAAGTGCCCTTATTCTACAGGTTAGAGACTGAGGCTCAATCTTGATAAGTAACTAGCCTAAGTCATATGCCAACGATAGAACCAGGCCTGATCCTTTTATTCTGGGCTTGTTTTTCTTCCTTTCATTTTTTTTATTTTTTATTTTTTTTACCATATCTCTGTTCTCTCATTTTAGGACAAACTCATATTACTTATTCATTGTATTTTAACTCTAATTTGGAAATGACCCAGTAATAGAACTTTTTATCTACAGTGCAATAACACTCTAGTTTTTCTAAAAAAAATGAGCACTATAAGAAGAGGACACAGTTCATAATGTTAGGGCACTTTCTGACCTTCGTTAAGCAGAGAAATTTATGCAGGAAAAAGTTCACTTTACATATAATCTGGTTTGGCTGCAAAATGCTTACATAAAAGTCATAGCTTTGAGCTGTCTTTATATCATAGTAACTTCATATGTTGTGAAATGGTTTTCTATAATCTTGACATTTTCTCAGAGAGCCAGTTCTCCTGTTTTAGTTGCCTTATAAGAGCTTCCAAAGACTTCAATCTCCCTAGAGTTTGTTGCTCTTGTAGCTCAAGAAGAGTAATCTTTGAATGTAGTTTACAGACTTTCTGCCAAAGATACTCCTTATTTATATCCTGTCTGCAGTAAGAATGTTCAAGTTGTAAGACTCCTGTCTCATAGTCTAGCTCCTTACAGGAGTCTTCACTGTCTGTGTCTTCCATTTCTACAGTTTCTTTTTGGACAGGCATAAAAGAATTAATTGTAGGTTTGGAACTCTCTGTGGGTACATAAATAGCAATGACAGATTCTTTATTTGGGTTTAATTCTTCAACTGTTTGGGTAATTGTGCTGAGTAAGAATGAATTTTCCTGCGCTGACTTAATTTCCACTGAATTATTTATAATGTTTGGATTAGCAAGATGATTGGTAGTTATTTCAAGCACTTCTTGGGTTTCCAAAGACTGCTGAATACTTTCTGAATTTGAAGTGGTCAAAGTAATAGTTGTCGAATTTAGATTCTCAAAAGATGTGTGAAAACCACCTATGTCTTGGTTAATTGATGTTTCCAAGGTAGATTCTGGTTTTCCAGTATCTTCCAGTTTAACTAGATTAAGAGTTAATATGTTATTGTGTATACTTCCTGCTTTTGGAGCTGGTGGCTTCACCAACGCAGATGAATGGAGTGATTCTGCATGTTCAGGGAGGACTCCTGTATTAACTGTATTTTTCTTTGGCTCTTTTGATGCAAATGATTCTTGTGACTTGGCTTTCAGGCACACATCTTTCTCATACTCTATTTTTTTCTTCTGACAGTTGTTTTTGGAAGGGTCTTTTTCCTAGAAAATAATATTTTCAAATATTATTTTTATATATTTTTAGTATATACTAAATACAGTGGGGCCTTGACTTACGAGTTTAATTCGTTCTGTGATGGAGCTCATAACTCAAATTACTCGTATGTCAAATCACTGCTGCGCCAACTAGCGGTGGGGTATCTGAAGCTGACTCGTAACCCGAATTTTTTTGAGCTTGCAACTCAAAGCAAAAAATCAGCCGAGAGACGGCTCGTATCTCAAAAAAACTCGTTAGTCGGGACACTCGTAAGTCAAGGCCCCACTGTATACTAAAATATATTTTTAGTATACTTTCAAATACTAAAAAAGATGTCCTTATTAGGCTTGTTCTCTTATTAGTCAGTGTTGAATACTTAATTACAACTTTAAGCAGTATATTGGCCAAGCAAATTTATTCAGTTAAAAAAAATTCTAACTATATAATTCAAGTAGACTTTCAAGTGTTTTTTAAAAAGCATTTAGCATCCTCAATATATGATGGAAACATTTCAGATCACTCAAAGACCAGTAAAAATATCTTAGATCATTAACTTATGATGAGTTAATGACTTACGTCTGCTATTTATTTTGCTCCTCTTAAGCTATGCTTCACAATGGTTTAAAGTTTTAAAAGTTTATCATGTTTAGTAAAAGCATCAATTAGTTTTCTTTTGCTCAAGTATCCGTTTCCCCAGCACTTATCTTCCTTTCCCTCTCCCGCCTTCCACCTAATTACCTGCCACTCTGCAATCCACCCCCGTTCAGCTTTCTCCCCTCTTGCCCCGCCTCCAATACCTGACTGTCTTCAGGCAAAGAAAATATTGTTGGAATTGCAGTTTGTTTCAAATATCGAATCCCCCATCTGATGTCAAGAGAGTCAGGAGTGAAATGGTCACTACACAGGAACTGGTATTTACTGGGCATCCATGAATCTCGTTTCATGTTCTTTAACCATTTTTCAAGTCTTTCTTTGTCATGTAGAGGAAACCTGAAATTAAAAAAGGAAAATTTTGCTATATTTTTACAATTTTGCCAGATTCCAGGCCTGCGTGTATAGGTAATCTATGCATCAAGTGCTGCAAGAGCAAGGCAACCAAACTCACACATAAGAGCACCTTCATGACAATTACACCACATCAGCTCTGCAGCGAAGAAGACGAAGATGGAAGATGTGCAGGCAGAGCTTTGTCTGAGCAAAAGGGCTGGTAAAACAAAGCTCAGAGTCCCTTCAAATAAACACACATCTCCCAACAAAAAATAAAATTTATATTTTCTGTGAATTATGTTCTACTTTTATTTTGTTGTGTAGTTTGCCTAGAACTAGGAAAGAGCTTTGTATAAACGACAAAGTCCTATTCAAATGTATTTCATACTAATACTACAAATGAAACAATTTCTTGTCTATAATGTTTAAAAATATTAAGCTTTAGGCTCTTATTTATGTTTATATATATATATGTACATATATGTATATATATAAAAGCCAAACGACCAGTTATGACAAGCACTGTAGCCAGCCAACTGGCCCTATGGGGGCGGGGCTGTCCAGCCAACCTCCTGTGGCCCCTCCCAATAGCCGGCCCACCAGTGCAGGTATTCATGCATGGGGCCTCTAGGGTATATGTATATATGAGTATATGTGTGTGTGTGTGTGTATATTTAAATATATTTTTATTGATTTCAGAGAGAGGAAGGGAGAAGGAGAGAGAGATAGAAACATCAACGATGAGAGAGAATCATTGATCAGCTGCCTCCTGCACGCCCCCTACTGGGGATTGAGCCAGTAATCCGGCATGTGCCCTGACCAGGAATCAAACCTTGACCTCTTGATTCACAGGTTGAAGCTCAATCACTGAGCCACACCAGCTGGGCTATGTTAATATTTTTAAAACAAGGAGAAGTTAACTCAAACAAATGGTTTAGCTGACAATAAAATGAACACCAAGTCTTTTAAGATACTAATATTCCATTCTCTTTACCAGAATCACCGTCAATTCTATCCGCATGTAATATAGTCCAAAATTCCTAGGCTTCCTATAACCAATGAACTGGGAACTCTAAAATTCAAGTTCTGAAAGAGAAAATGACACAAGAAAAGAACAAAACATGTCCTTGAGAAAAGACAGACTCAGATCTATTTTATAATATGAAACGAATGAAACAGAAAAGACAGAGAAAGTTCATAGCTCTTTATACATGTACTGACAGTGGCCTTACTTTAGAGTAAGCTCTGGCAGACGGCAATGTTTTTTATAAGCAAAACTAGACTAACGGCAGACTTTTACAGAAAACTTGTCCCTGCCAGTCTAAATAGGTAAATAAATTTGGATTAAACTGTATTAAACACTTAACAGTCATTTATTTTTCTTTCAATGATTTTACAAGAACACATCCCAAGACACATATTACATAACTAGAGGCCCGGTGCACAAAAATTTGTGCACTCGGGGGGCGGGGGGAGGGGGGTCCCCCAGCCCGGCCTGTGCCCT